TCAGTGCAATTGATGAGCGCCAGAAACTTTACACCCTGTGGGAAATATCTTGGCCATTGAGATCAAATCGGCCAGGTTGGTCGGGTATGATGCAGGCAGTTACAGATGGGGTTCATATAGGAAAGGCATCTATCCATTTCCTTCCAATGATAGATATGGACCCAACTGATTTGAGTTGCATCTTTTCCACTCTTCACTTTGTTGCTGAGGTGAATAAACTACATGGAACTGTGCCTGTCATCACCTTTGATCAACCACTGTGGCGGAAGGCCAAGACCATCATAACAAGGGAGAATGAAGGAAGTGACCTCAGGAAGATAGAGCTGCATTTGGGCGGATTTCACTCCATAATGAGTTTCCTTGGCAGCATCGGACATGTGATGAAATCATCTGGGCTAACAGATGTGTTGGAGATCGTTTATGCAGAAAATGCAGTGAACCACATGTTAACAGGAAAAGCATATGCACGAGCAATGCGTGGCTATCTTCTGGTGGATGCTTCTCTCAACGCCCTTGTGCTCCAAAGAGCATTTGACATCTCTTTTCCTGCTGAGGAATCAGAGATCAACAAAATCCTTGACTTAAAGAAGGCTCTTGAGACGTTTGACACCCTTCTTGAAACTCTTGATGAGAAAACCACTGACCCTGCTGATGAAAGCTTAACACACGTAGCTAAACAGATGGAGGCAGAAAAGCACAAAATCAAGCAAAGTCCAACAAGCAAATTGTTGGTCCAATATATGAACATGGTTGATCTCCTGCGGTTATTACTCAAAGCCCTTCGCACAGGACACTTCATGCTCTACTTAAGTACTCTCCAGAAGATGCTTCCATTCTATGCCGCAACTGGACACTCCAACTATGCGAAATCCGTGTATATCTACATACAAGATATGTTGGATCTCAAACACACAAAACCAGATTTATTCAACAAATATGATTCAGTACTATTTGTTGTCCGCAGGACTGATCGGTTCTGGGCAGGACTACCACCAGGGGGTAGATTCATCAAGCTGCGTACGCAAAATATTTTGCGTAAATCTTGTGTACGCAATCGACGTTGCTTAAGGTAGGGGCACACGAGCGATTTTTATCGCCCGATCGCCGCGAATTCTAAAATCGCTCGGAAAAATTGCCCGTGTGCCCGTTCACGTCGACGCCGATTTTAATCGCCCGATCGAATCGCCCGTATCCAAAATGTTAGATATTTTCGGGCGATTATAATCGCCCGGCGATTATTATCGCTCGTGTGCCCGCGACCGGCGTATTTTGTCGCCCGATCGATTGTTCTAAACCAATCGGACGTGTTGTTGATATCATGTGATCGTGTGCCCCTTCGTGATNGGTTCTGGGCAGGACTACCACCAGATCTAGTAATAGAGCAGGTGCTAATGCGATCATTGAAGACAACCGGTGGTCTTACGCGAGGCCGAGGCATGCATAAAGATCAGCGGACTCGCTGGCTCTTGGCAATGCCTGCTTGCGTTGAAATAAATGAAATGATGCAAGAATTAACAGGAAATCAATACAGTACGAGTGAGCAACATAAAGACATGACACATGCCCGGAAAGCTAGAGACCAGAAAGATGCTGAGGCGATTCTGGATTTTTCAAGATCACATCCCATTTACAAAATAGCCACAGGAGTAAGTGGAACAGAATCTGCCAATCCATATGACGCAGAAGAAGTGGGGAAGGGTATAATAAATCAAATGGAAGGACAGGATGCATTTCAGTTTTCATTTCGGAAAAAAGACCAGGTGGAAACACTTGGTCAGAAAGTGGTGAGAAGGTGATCAATGGTGAGAAGGTCTCAGTTGACCCTCAACTCCTATTTCAGAGGTTGTTGATTATAGCCAACAACAATGACTGTAGTCTTGATGAGTTACTCAAGTATGAGCTGTCAACACATCCACCTGCTCTCTTTGACAGAAGGTGTTTGAAACGAGAGCCAAATAAGCCACAGCTTGCAGATGCATTTGCAAAAATAATATCAAATGAACAACCAGCAAAGCCGACAGAACAGGCAGAGTTCAGTGTCTTAGATGATGGTTCTCTGATTTATCGACTACCTTGGATTAAGGGTAAAACATTTGATATTATTACAGTGAAATATGTGACTCATGTTAAGAAACACTTCAACAACCCTATTGTCATTTTTTATGGATACAGTGTACCGTCAACCAAAGAGGTAACTCATCAGACGCGGTCAAAGGGAGTTGTTGGACCTAAGGTGCACTTCAGTGCCAACATGCCTCTGAAATCAAAGAAGAAACGTTTTCTCACAAATTCAGAGAATAAACAAGACTTCGTTGAACTTGAACTTTGAACTCAGTGAAAAAATGCATGCAAATGGAATCAGAACCCTCCAGGCAGATGCCGACGCCGATTTACTCATAGCAAAGACAGCCATTGACCATGCCACAGCTGGGATTACACATGTTATTGGAGAGGACACTGACATTCTAATATTACTTTGTCATCATGCAGATCCATGTTCCAGGGTTCGATATTTTAGGTCAGAAAAACCGACAGCAAAGTATTCTATTTGGGACATTCATTTGATACGAAAAAGGTTTGGTGATGAGGTTTGCCGTGCTCTACTTTTAATACATGCCATTTCTGGATGTGGCACTACCTCCCGTCTGTTTGGAATTGGGAAAGGAGCTGTCCTCAAGAAAGCACAGAAAGATGAGCTGTTCATAAAACAAGCACAAGTGTTTTTATAGAATTAGACTGCCGAGAAAATTCTGGAAGCTGGAGAAAAAGCATTGACGTCTTTTTATGGAGGGTTAACTACGGACACTTTGGATTCCCTGTGCAAGAGGAAGTTTAGTGAAAAAGTTCTAAAAAGTATCAGAAGTGTGGATGTTCAACAAAGATCATGACACCAAGATCATGTTTCTATGTTGAATATTAGCTGAAATATGAAAGATAATGGATTTGAATGGCGGCCATTTTGAAATCCAAGATGGCCGCTACCGACTGATAATGATTTTGTTTGTAATGGGTTTCTTGACCCCAATAATGTTGGTTCAGACACCAGGATCATGTTTCTATGTTGAATATTAGCTGAAATATAAAAGATAATGGATTTGAATGGCGGCCATTTTGAAATACAAGATGGCGGCCACCGACCGATAATGATTTTGATTGTAATGGGTTTCTTGACCCCGATAGTGTTGGTTTAGACACCAAGATCATGTTTCTATGTTGAATATTAGCTGAAATATGAAAGATAATAGATTTGAATGGCGGCCATTTTGAAATCTAAGATGGCCGCCACCGACCGATAAGGGTTTTGATTGTAATGGGTTTCTTGACCCCGATAATGTTGGTTTAGACACCAAGATCATGTTTCTATGTTGAATATTAGCTGAAATATAAAAGATAATGGATTTGAATGGCGGCCATTTTGAAATCCAAGATGGCGGCCACCAACCGGTAATGGTTTAGATTGTAATAGGTTTGTTGACCCCGATAATGTTGGTTTAGACACCAAGATCATGTTTCTATGTTGAATATTAGCTGAAATATGAAAGATAATAGATTTGAATGGCGGCCATTTTGAAATCCAAGATGGCGGCCACCAACCGGTAATGGTTTAGATTGTAATAGGTTTGTTGACCCCGATAATGTTGGTTTAGACACCAAGATCATGTTTCTATGTTGAATATTAGCTGAAATATGAAAGATAA